ACTGAATGCAACAGATCTTACTAGTCAATACATGTTTGACATTATATGACGAAGTAAAAGATCAATATAACAATGTCTGAGAGGCAACTTGATTTAATTATGTTCACTTAAGTGCTTGTCCCTAGTTAGGAAAAGGGAATTTATGAATGTCATACTACTTATATTGACTTTTTTCCTTTCTGATCTAATGCATCCAAGAAAAGGGGAAAGTCACAATATTGACAGGCCACATCCCATTGAATTGCAAAATTGTTGTGATATGATCTACGACTGAAACGTTACCGAAAAGTGAAGCCAGGTAGAGCCGTGGAATCTTTTTTTCATAAATGACGTTTTGCATCAAGTGAATTCCTTTATAATTCTCCTGTGCATTCAAAAACATCTTTGAGGCAATTCAATAAAAAAGATCGCTATTCTGAAAGTTCTGGAAGGACTGTAGGAGCACATTATTTTTAATTTGTTCAGATGGGTTAACGGCTCATTCATGAATAGTGCTGCCAAATTATCCTTAGAAGTGAACATGAAAGTGCCTCACCTTAGTGCACATTTCATTCCCTTTGCAATCTTTTATACTTCTTTCAAGTGGGTTCAACATGGCAGTACATTCATCAGCCAGGAAGGTGGGCCTCAGTGTAATTAGAAGGTTTCCTTGTCTACTTTTGATGTGATACCACAAGGACGCATGGGGTCCAGAGTCAATGTTGAGGACTCCCAGGCAACTCCTTCCCAATTGTATATCATTGTGCCACCACCTCTGGTGAGTTGTTCTTGCCAATAGGAATGGTGGGATGATGAGCATGGTGTCTGGCCCAGTTGTACTCATGGAAACCTATCTTACAGATAAGTGTTGTTTGACTAGTCTATGGGACAAGTCTCGTATGTTATTGAGGAGGACTTTGATGAGGTGACCAGGCTATACAAGTTCTTAAATAAAACAGAACAGCTGATGCTGGAAATCAAAAGCAAAAACAGAAATTGCTGCAGAAACTCAGCAGGTCTGGCAACATCCATGGAGAGAGAAACAGAGTTAATGTTTCAAATTGTTCTGAAGAAGGGTCACAGGATTGGAAACTTTAACTCTGTTTTCCACACCATGCACAATTCATCGAGCCTGTTAAACACACTTTTGCAAGTAACTAAATGGCATACTTTTGTAGTTATGGTATCAAGCTACAAGCATATTACTTTGTGAAGTAGGCATTGCTGACAGGGCCAGCATATTTAATTTCCATAGAGAAGGTGGTGATAACTGTCTTCTGCATGCAAGAAGTACAAGAAGGGAGTTCCAGCAATTGAGACCTAGAAGTGGAAAAAAATGATAGAAATCTAGTTCCAAGTCAAAATGGTGAGTGGCATGAAGTGGAACCTGCAGGAGGTGGAGTTCCTGTGTGTCTGCTGTCCATGACTACTGGACGATATAGGTTATGGGTTTGAGTGGTTCTGTCAAAGCAGCCATGGTGAGTTACTGAAGTGCATTGTGTAGATAGTACACATGGCCATTGTGCATCGATGGTGAAGGAAGTGACTGTTGAAGATGGTAGATGGGGAGACAGCAAAGCTATCTGCTTTGACCTGGATGTTGATTTCTACTCAGTTCAAGTTTATTCTATTTTTTACATGCCTTTTCCATTTGATACATGCAAAATAGTCTCTGAAAGAAAAACCTGAGTTGATATTAGAAGCCAACCACTGCATAAGTCATTTTATATGATACTGTAGTTTATACATTGTAGTATTTTATGAAGATAAGCACCTAGCCATATTGAAATTAGATGTCTACTTTCCAAAATGTGTGCAATGTTAAAAAAAATTGGAAAATTGGTGGGTAGTATGCGTCTGCAAGTGGGTGAGTGTGAAAAATGTAATTTAGCACATGCTAATACCTGGATAATAAACCTTTCCAATGATAATTCTGGGGTCAGTCCATACTCTAAAGAACTGGGAGCCAAAGTTTAAATTCAGTAAGATAGCATGGGCACTAATTTGGCAGCTCTTCAGTTTGGTTTAGCATGCATTTGTAAAAATTACTTCAATTATTACTGAAATTTATCAATTATTATTAACAACTTTTTTGAGGTACAATGTTTGAATTGTATATAAATCACCTTGTTTAAGTCACTATAACAGAAACAGTCAGAAGTCCATAGACCATAGACCATAAGATGTAGGAGCTGAATTAGACGATTTGACCCATTGAATCTGCTCTATCATTCAATCATGGCTGATGTTTCTCAACACCATAGAGAAGGTGGTGATGAACTGTCTTCTGCATGCAAGAAGTACAAGAAGGGAGTTCCAGGAATTGAGACCTAGAAGTGGAAAAAAATAATAGAAATCTAGTTCCAAGTCAAAGTGGTGAGTGGCATGAAGTGGAACCTGCAGGAGGTGGGGTTCTCCCCGTAACCGTTGATCTCCTTACAAGTCAAGAACCTATCTCTGTCTTAAATACACTCAATGATTTGGCGTCCACAGCTTTCTACATCAGTGAGCTCTACAGATTCACTACCCTCTCATTAAGAAATTCCTTCTCATCTCAGTTTTAAAGGGTCATCCCTTCACTCTGAGGCTGTGCTCTCAGGTCCTGGTCACCCCCACTAGTGGAAACACCTTCTCCATGTCAGCTCTATCAAGCCCATGCAGATTCTGTAAGTTTCAATGAGATCACGCCTCATCCTTCTAAACTGCAATGAGTACAGACCTCGAGTATACAACCACTGCTGATACGACAAGCCCTTTATTCCAGAATTCATTCCTATAAACCTTCTCTAGACTTCTTTAGATACGAAGCCAAAAACTGCTCATAATATTTCAAATGTGGTCTGATCACAGCCTTATACGGATTCAGCCATACATCCCCTCTTTTGTATTCTAGCTTTCTTGAAATGAATGCTAACATTGCATTTGCCTTCCTGACTACCAAGTGAACCTGCATGCTAACCTTAAGAGAATCCTGAATTAGAACTCCCTAAGTCCCTTTGTACTTCAGATTTTCGAAGCCGTTCTAGTGAATAGTCTTTGCCTGTATTCTTCTAATCAAAGTGCATAACCTCACACTTTCCCACATTGTATTCCATCTGCCACTTCTTAACCCACTCTCCTAGCCAGTCCTTTTGCAGTCTCCCCAGCTCTTCACATTATCTGTTCCTCCACCTATCTTTGTGCATCGGTAAACTTAGCAACAATGCTGTCAGTTCCTTCGTCTAGATCATTAATATATGATGTGAGTAGTTGAGCACCCCAACACTGACCCCTGACGACTAGTCACCAGCTGCCATCCTGAAAAAGACCCCTTTATGCCCACTCTGTCTTCTGCCAGTCAGCTAAGTACCTTTCCCTGAACACCATGGCCTCTTACTTTAGTTAGCAGCATTCTGTACAGACACTTGCCAAAGGCCTTCTGGAAATCCAAATAGGCTTTCCTTTGTCTATCTTGCTTGTTGCCTCCTCAAAGAATTCTAACAGATTTGTCAGGCAAGACCTCCACTTGATGAAGCAGTACTAATTCAACTCTATATTACGATGCACTTCTAAATACTCTACAGCTCATCTTTAATAACAGACTCTAAAAAGCTTACCAGTGACAGAGGTTAGCTAACCAGCCTATAGCTTCCTATGTTCTGCCTCCCTCGCTTCTTAAACAGTGGTTTTACATTAGCCATTTTCCAGTCCCATTGGACCCTCCTGATTCCAATGATTCCTGAAAAAAAAAATGGCTCCCCCATCTCCTTTCTCCTTTGGAACTGTGGGTGTAGTCCATCCAGTCTAGGTGTTTTAACCACCTTCAGACCTTTCAGCTTTCCCAGCAACTTCGCCTTAGTGATGGTCATTACATCCATATCTGTCCATGACTCTCTTGAAGTTCTGGTATGCTGCTGGTGTCTTCCATTGTGAAGACTGATGCAAAGTACCTATTCAATTCCTCTGCCATTCCTTTATTTCCCCATTACTACTTTGCCAGTCTCATTTTGCAGAGTCAATGTCCACTCTCTCTTACCTTTTTTTTAATCTAAAAACACTTGCAGTCGTCTTTATATTACTAACTTGCTTATTGTCATATTACATTGTCTCCCTCATTTTTTTTTCAGTTGTCCTCTGCTAGTTTTTAAAAAAAGGCTTCTCACTAATTTTCATCACATTATATTTTTTTAATCCCCTTTTGCTTTTATGCCATTCCTGACTTCCCTCATCAGCCACGGTTGCCTTGTTGTCATCTTATAATTTTTATTCTCCTGTTCAAACTGTTTTATACCCTGATTATATTGAATATCATCTGAAATTCATTGTTGCAGTCCAATCGTTCTACCAGCCTTAATTGATAAGGGTCTCACTTCATGTATTTCCCTTTCTGCATTCAATTTGTTACTATCAGCCCTTTGCTCAAAGAAACAATCTTTGACCCCATCATCCCTGCAAACTACTACCCCATCTCCAACCTCCCTTTACTCTGCAGCCCTTAAAAAAAGTTAAGATTAAGAGGACATTTTGATTGAGGTACTCAGAGTCATGAAGCGTCTGGATAAAGTATATGGATATTCCCATTGATTGAAGGATTAGGAGCAGAGAGAAAAGTCACTATTCTGACTTGGGAATATATCTCCAGTTGTCCACTGTGACTGGCAAAAGAAACAATGACATTATAAGGAAACTCTTGCACACAATGTGTACTTAGTGAGTAAATGCACAATCTGTGTGGTGAAGCAGATTCAATCAAGGCATCCAAAAGGAAATTTGAAGTATGTGTGGGGCTGTAGGGAAAAGGCAGAGGTGTGGCTCTAGGGGAATAGTTCCATCAGGAACCAGAACAAAGACATGAAGAGCTGAATGACCATCTTTTGTGTTGTAATTGCTGGTTCTGTAGCATGTTGTCACCTCCCGATTCAATGATGTTTTTCAGAATTCCTCTCCAGAATTCTTCAATTAGGTTTCCACCCCAACTGCAATGTTCAATGGCTCTGACCAAAGTCATGTGCACCACTTTGAGATGTCGACCAAGTGTAGTAGCGAATTTTGATTACTTGGTAAGTTCAAGCAAATCTTCCTCCAAATTAAATACAGATTAAGAGTCAGACACTGCCATAAAACTAACTGACATGAGAATCTCCCACTAGTCTGGATAAGTGCAGCTCCAACAACACTCAAGAAACTCAACACATTCAGGACAAAGCAGGCCGTTTGACTCATACTCCCTTGACACCGACGGACAATGGCTACAGTGCACCAGCTGCAAGATGTATTGCTGAAAGGTTCCTCAGGTAGCACTTTCCAATCCACAAATGCTGCCATCTAAAAGAACAAGGGAAACAGATTCATGGAATCACCACTGCTTGCAAGTTCCTGTCCAAGCAACTCACTGTTCAGACTTGGGAATATATCTCCAGTCGTCCACTGTTGCTAGGTCAAAATTCTGGAACTTCCTCCCTAACAGTACCATGGATGTAACTAGACTAAATGGATTGCAGCAGCTCACCTCCACCTTCTTGTGGGAATTATGGCTGGGTAATAAATGTTACCCATATTGTGGACATCCTCTGACTGAACTAAAAAAACTTCAATTAAGTTAATTTGCCTTGCTTAAACAGGAGCTGCCTGGTAGTTGCAATTATGTCAATCAGTTGAAAATAATTGGTTCAATTTGGTGTTAGTCAGGAAGCTCAACTAGCTACTAACTAGTTGAGTACTAGTCAGTACTGGTACTCAGTAAGGGGCATCAAGTTGCCATAGTCTTACCGGATCATAGAGCTGCTCTCTCATTAAAGAGAACCAACTGATGGTGATTTAACCTGAGGGCCACCACATCCAGGTGAGGGGAGAGATTGAGAAGGAGAGTCCTTCGTAGTAACCTCAGACAGTGCGGGGATTGAATTCATGCTTTTGGCATCACCACCTCACAACAGTTGTTATAGGGTTATTGTGTCGCCATAATCTTATCAGACCATAGGGCTGCTCTTTCATTAGAAAGAGAGTAAGATGACTGGTGGTGATTTAACCTGAGGGCCACCATCTCTCAGCTGGTAATGGGAATTGAACCCACACTGTTAGCATCACATTGCTTCACGTAAGTAAGGGGCATATGGTCAGGATAGCGAGTATGAGTGACCCATTGACTGAGTAGATCAGTGAATTTTGTTTATGTGGGAATTCAGTGTGCAGGAGAAAAGATGCTTTTACTAGTTGCATTAAACTTCATTTAAAGTGTGTGAAGTATCAGGCAGATTTCAGAACTAGCAAGGTTTTTGTAAATAGTTGTGAGCATTAATAGTATTAAGTGTTTTTCTTTAGTAGCAAGGTTAGATAAATTAGGTAAGGGTGGAGGGGTAGCACTGTTAATTGGTGGCATTGGAAGCATTGGTGATTCCTGATGTGACCTTTATTCAGGAGATCAGGATGTAGAGAATCAGTTTGGTTGGAAATGAGGAATAAGGGAAAGAAATCATTAGTGGCAGTGGTTTGCAGGCTGCCCAATAGTAACCACAATTTAGGATGAAGTATACAAGAAAAAATGGATGCTTTTCACAGCAATAATCATGGGTAATCTTAAATAAATATAAACTGAAATGATCGGAATAGCAATGAGATCCTGAATGAGTAGTTAGAGAATAGGATTTAGAGAAATTTTTACAGCAGTATATTCTAGAACCAATCAGGCTTCACTTGTCTTGGTTTTGTGTAATATGATTGGATTAATTAATTATTTCTATGCAAAGGCACCTTATGTAGAAGCAACCAAAGTATGATTTGAATCTTACAAACAGTTTGAAAGGAAGAAGTGGGTAACATAACACAGTGTGGAGCTGGAGGAACACAGCAGGCCAGGCAACATCAGAGGAGCAGGAAAGTTGACGTTTCGGGTCAAGACCTAATGATTTTAAAATTATTGGACTTTTTGATTAAGTAACAAAGAGTTGATCAGGACAATGTTGTTGATATGGTGCATATGGACTTCCAGAAGGCATTTTATACAGTGGTGGACCATTGACATGAGCCAAGCTGGAGCTCATAGAATAAAAAAGGGATAGTAGCAATATAGACACAAAATTGGCTGAGTGATAGGAAACTGTAATGGACAAGGATTTTTTTTTGGCTGGAAGAAGGTTTATTGTGGCATCCCCCAGTGTTGGTAATGGGCCACTTAGTTCTTCTGATATATATTAATGATCTGGATCTTTGTGTGCAGGGGACCAATTCAAATTTGAGAGTGATACTAAACTTAGAAACATTGCAAGTTGTGAGAACAATGTAGAACTTCACAAGGACATTGATAGAGTGAGCAGATATGTGAAAGATGAAGTTGAGATGAACGTTTTGTGGAAAGAACATGCAATGACAACACAAATTAAATGGTACTGCTCTATAAGGAGTGCAGAGGCTAAGGGGCCTGGGTGTATATATAAATAAGTCACAAAAGATGCAGGAAAGTTGAAGAGAGCAGTTAATATTGCATACACTATCCTAAGATTTATTAGTAGGGACATAGAGTACAAGAGCAGGGATGTTATGTTGAACTTGTAAAAGACCTATTTAGGTGTTATCTGGAGAGTTGTCTAGTTTTAGGTGCTGCTTGAAGGCATTAGAGAGAGTGCAGAAAAGATTCACAAGAATGGTTCCAGGGATGAGAATCTTCAATTTTGAAAGCAGTCCCAACTTCTCCAATCTATTTTCCTTTCAGAAAAGAATGCTGAGAAGAGATCTGATAGCTGTAGGCAAATATCATGAAGAGTCTGTGCAGAAATGAAAGAAACATCAGGAAAATTGTTTTAATACAGTGTATGGTTAAGTTGTGGTATGGGCTGCCTGAGAATATGGCAGGTCCAATAAAGACTTTCAAAAGTCAATTGGACAGTTATCCAAAACAAGAACACTACAAGCAGGTTTGTGGGATGAATGTGGAAGTATGGCAGTAAGTGAAATGTTTATTCAGAGTCAATTGAGACACAGTGGGCTGAATGACCTCCTCACTGTAACAACCTGTGATTTAGCTCAGTATCTTTCTTTTTCCCTTTGCAGTACCTTAGGACATTTTCTTAAAGGTATTATTGTTTCAATGATGGCGGGGTATTATGCGAAGGTCTATTTTTACTATCAACCTATTTATTGCACTATAAATTTAAAAGGTCATTCTACTATATTTACTATTACAGACTGTCTTCATATAACACACTGATATCCAATTGTCATCTGTGAAATACATCAAATGATTAAATTTATTTCATGATTCTGAAATAGATTGTCTTCAGATCCATCGCAATTGTATTTTCTTTGACTCTGAGGGTTTGGGAATTCAATGCCCAAATGAACTCTGGGTTCTGACCCAAGAAGAGCTATGTTACTACTTTAGCTTTTAAGCATAAATGGTATAATAAGCCAGGTGGCGATTTGGCACTCATTTAAATACATCAAGCCTCTCAAGGAAGAGTGACACAGATCAGAATATAGACATGGTTAGTAAGTTTGCAGATGACACCGAAATTGGTGGTATAGTGGACAGTGAAGGAGGTTTACTAGATTAAAAAGGGATCTTGATGAAATGGGTCAATGGGCTGAAAAATGGCAGATGGAGTTCAATCTGGATAAATGCAAGCTATTGCATTTTGGTACAACAAACAAGGATAGGGCTTATACAATTAATGTTAGGGCCTTGGGTAGCGTTGTAGAACAGAGGGATCTAGGGATGCAGGTACTTAATTCTTTGAAGTTTGTGTCACTTATAGACAGGGTTAAAAAGGCATTTGGCATGCTTGCCTTCATTGCTCAGTCATTTGAATTTGGGGTTGGGAAGTCATGTAGAGATTTTACAGGACATTGGTGAGGCTTCTTCTGGAATACTGTGTCCAGTTCTGGTTGCCTAGTTATATAAAGGATATTATTAAGCTAGTGAGGGTTCAGAAGAGATTTACCAGGATGTTGCTGGGTGTGGAAGTATGAGTTAAAAGAAAGGCTGTATAGGCTGGGACATTTTTTATTGTGGCATAAGAGGTTGAGAGGCGACCTGATAGAAGTTTATAAAATAATGAGGGGTATAGATAGAGCTAATGGTAGTTTTCTTTGATGGGGATTTCAAGACTATGGGACACATTTTTAAGGTGAGAGGAAGGAAATTTTAAAAAAAGACATGAGGGGCAATTTTTTTTACACAGAGGGTGGTTCGTATGTGGAATGAAATTCCAGAGGAAGTGGTGGATGTAGGTACAGTTACATTGTTGAAAAGCTGTTTAGACAAATAGATGATTAGGAAGGGTTTGGAGGGATATGGGCCAGGAGCAGGCTGGTGGGACTCGTTTAGTTTGGGATTATGGTCGGCATGGACCGGGTGGACTGAAGGGCCTGTTTCCTTGCTGTATGACTCTATATCAACAATTTTAAGGGCTATTGCTGCATTGTCAGTTTCAGCAGATTGCTGCTTAGAAGCACAGTGGCCTTACTTGGTGATGTAGGATCAATGCTTCAGCCAACATTGGTAGCCCCACAATTTGTTGTAGAAAACACTGCAAATCAAGTTATTTAGGCCCTGCAATGAACTTGACAGCCACATGCCAATGTTCATAGGGGTTGTGGAGAAAGTGTTTGAAAGTTATATTCTGTTTCGGATAGATCCTTGCACTAGGAGTTTAAGGGGCCGTTAATAGGAAGTCACATTTTACCTGCTCCCCCCGCACCATCCCACCCCCACTCCCCCCCCACTCCCCAGCAGCCAGTTGAAAATTGAAGATTATGTTCCAGAGGTATTCAGATCTCAACTTGACCTCCAGGTTCTCCTTTCATAGGCTGCTCTCACCATGTCCTGATCCTGCAGTTCTTTGAAAATCTTACCAACTATATCATTTATGCTACATTACAGCATGTCTTACTATGGTTTCCTTGCTCAGCCAAATATAGAATTGATCATTAAAACTTCATTTTACTTTACTATCTGTATCTGAAATGCCACCAAACATTAACAAAGAACCGAATAAATTTATGAAATCATAGAGCACAGAAGAAAACCATTCGGTCCATCATTGCTTTTATATGTATTTTTCTGTGCTATCTAAATTTTTCTAAATCCTCAGTGGTTCCCTATGTTCCGCACCCCCACCCCCCCAACCCTGCAAGAAATACACAAGAAGTATAATTAAAACCAGCCTGAATTCCATGTACCATGACACAAGACAGACAAACACACACACTCAAAAACGCAACAAGACATTGTACACTTTGCACTGCATCAATGAACTGATAGAAATTTATAATATACAAGTTCTATCTTTCAGGTTTTGTAGTCTCAAAGATAATCAATTTTTTCATTCTACTCCTGATGCTGAATCATCTATAATATAGATTCCTTTCGATATAACGAATTTGTCTTGAAGTGGGAGGCAGTGGCATAATAGTAATGTCCCTGGAATAGCTATCCAGAACTCAAGGCCAATGTTCTGGGAAATAAGTTTGAGTCCTAATATGACAGATGGTAAAATTTGAATTCAATACAGTATGGAATAAAAAGCTGACCTAATGGCAACTCGGTAACCAGTGTCAATTGTCATCAAAACTCATCTGGTTCACTAATGTTCTTTAGGGAAGGAAACCTGCCATCCGTACCTTGTCTGGCTTTTAAGTGACTGCAGACTGACAGTAATGTTGACTCTGAATGCCCTCCGTGCTGTTGGGGATGGGCAATGAATTGTGAGCGAATTTGTAAAAATAAAGCTCACAAATGATTCCTAAAACCTTAGACTGAAATTATTTGTTCAGAATGTTAACACACCATTTTTATTTTTGTGGTTTTCCTTGACATTTATTGTTTATAATATTTCTCAATCAACATAAGAAACATTAAACAGAAGCTGGAAATACTTAGCGGATCAAGCAGGATCTGAAGAGTGATAAAAGTAGATTAACTTTAATCAAAGCGGAGGTCTGATTTCTGGTACTGCATTGAATCATAAATGACTTTTGTTATTCCTATTCAGGATAGCGTCATAGAGATGTATAGCACGGAAACAGACCCTTCGGTCCAACTTATCCCTGCCAACCAGATATGGTTACGGTCAAGGGATTTCTTGGTAATTTGGCAGACATTATCAGAATTCTAGTGCTCTGGAGCCGTTGACTTAAAATTTGTATCAACTGATTATTTTGTACAACTGGCAGACTTTGTTATTTGCAGACTGAACACAGTTTGGCCAACATTGATGCAGTGACAATGGTGCTGAATGGATGTATGCTTTGAGGCTTACGTAGTCTCCACTCCTTTAGCAGCTAATTTTAATGTCAAAAGGGAGCTATCTGCTTGATCTGAATATTATATAAATTATCTAATAATATTTAAGTTTATTGGGTAGTCTAACGGAATGCCTGGGAACATTTAAATTATGATCTTTGTAATTGATTTGAAATTCACTGCAACAAGTGTGAACTTATATTGGTGTGAGGCAACCTTCTGGGATATGTCCCACTTTCAAATTAGGACTTTGGCACCAAGTCTAGGCTGACATTTTAGAGAGTGCTGAGGGAATGTTGTGCTGGTAGAGACAATGGAGGGAGAAATTAACATCTATAGCACTCTTTTTTAGGAGCTACAAATGCATCTGACACACACAAATAGGATCCAGGATTTCTGCATACATCTAAACTGAAGTTTGCCAAAGACCAACTTGGTAAAGGGGTTTGCATACGTGACGAACAGTGTACAAAGTGCACAGATAAGAAGCACATCAGTATGCACCACTGATTCAACACCAGTGCTGACACTTTCAGTCTCCACGCTCCAGCCGCCATTCTGTCCCAACCTTTCACAGCTGAGCACACCCAAAAAAGCAATGAATGGAAATCCCATCGCAACTTTTTAAAGCGATTATTAACTTCTTACAGGTTAGTCATGGATTGTTTCTTCTGTCTGTTGGTACAATTATACACACCTTTGGAGCTTTTGTACGCTTGCCTCCAGTTTGAAAATTTTAGTTGGAGTTATCTGAATGTGGTTGAAGCTTTTAAATCAATGGAGAAAAGCACACCTGGTGAATCAAGTCACTCCCAGGTACTTGGGATCATGATAAGGCTTTTTTTTTACTGGAAACTGATCAGGAGACTGATAAGAGGCTATGAAGAGCAGAACATGCTACTACAATGGTGGAAGGACTCTCTGCAGGAGAACATACCTACTGAGGGCTATTGCCATAATACCCCTTTTGCCTCCACTTTGGTGATGACTGTGCTTGATGTCCTTGTTTCATTAACATGTTTGTGACAACAATCTACCAACTAATTAAGCCACAACTGCAACCTCATTCTAGGGTTGAGGTAGCATTGCCTGTAGGGTAGCAAAATCTCAACTTTTATGTATCTGACCACCCCCCCGCCACCCGATAGGCTGTCTCTGAAGATATAAACAAATCTTAACTTGCGGCACATGAGAGATCACTGAGGTTCTTCATATATAGAGACATCGTTATCTCACATCCTTCTGTCAGAGACAAATAATTACAGTGAGCTTGAGTTTTCTCATGAATTGTTGGCTTTCTCATGGTACAGAATGCCATTTGCTACATGTAGATTGCCTTGTATATGCCTCACATACTCGGGCTTTTCTTAAATTAAAATAAGTTCAATTCATGTGTAAAGCTATGTGGCCACAGACAATGCATTGTACGCAAACAATTCTCATGATTCCTTCACTGAGTGGCAGTCCCTTTCGTATTTACTAATTGTCATGAGTCAAATAATGGCTACTAGCTGATAAAAGGTTCTGTAATTAGCATGTGGCTAACATTTCCAGAACTATCCTTAACACACATGCACATAGCAGATCTACTGCAAGAACATATATGATAACATAGAACATACCATCTCTGTTAGTTGTAGAGATCTACAACGCAGAAAAAGCCCTCTTGGCTTGGCATAACCTCTATGCTCTTAAAGTCCGTGCCTTGACTTATTTAAGGCGAGAATCCCATATTCCTTCCTAACCATTTTATCCACCTATCCTGAAACCTTAAGGGACCAGTGTTACATGCACACCAAGGTCCCTCTGTTTCTTTGTGCTTCCCAGGTTCTAACGTTCATCATGTATTCCCTTGGAGATAGTAAGAACTGCAGATGTATTCCCATGCCTTGTTTGTCCTGCTCAAATGCATAACCTCAAATTTATCCAGATTGAAATCCAGAGTGTACAGGAGCATTTCTTCCAGTGTCTGGATCCATTTTCAAAGAGCCATCCAGTACCTTGTTGTTTGCTCCCACTACCACTTGAGCAGATGTTTAGGAGATCTCCTGCCCACTGAAGATATGGAACATATATGTTATTTTCACCTTTTGTATCAAGGTCCCCAGTGCATGGCCTGAAGAAATTGGCACTTTCTCCCACATAGTGAGCAATTGCTCAAAATGCCACAGTTCAGATACAGTTTTGTAAAAATTGAATCTCCTAAAGTTTGTTGCATCCACAATGCATGTCACTTTAAAGACTCACAGAACAGCCTACTGATACAACCATGCGGAGCGAAGGTAGTGCACAATAATCATTTGAAGGAGCAGGTAGTGCCAGTTCTGTGTGCATCACAATGAAATGACGTGTTAATTGTGTACTGATCCCCATGCCTCTTTTCAGGGGTTAACCTATTCCCTTAGATTTTTTAGATGAGCAGTTTACCTGGGGCCTGTCTATTTAGATGAACCAAAATATACCAAGGCAAATATTTTAAGAACCAGGAGTTCTCTCAATTGGCTGGATGACACTCATCGTCAATCAACAGCAAAGCAAATGAACTGGCTATTCATGTCTTTAGTCTTGTAGGACATGGTTGTGTACAAACTGCCTGCTCCACTTACCCACAAAATCAACAGGAACTAATCTTTGAAAAAGCAATTTATTGAGTATGTCACATCTACATTGGGATTGAGAGGATGATTGCTTCTTACTCAAGGAAATATTGCTGTTAGGTCGGTTTTTATTGTTAACAAGGGATAATCACTTTCTTGTAAGAAAACACACTAAAATGCTGCAAAGTTGGGTATTATTTGAAGGAAGATACTGAAAATAATACCTGAGAAATGCACAACTGGTCCAAGCATAATTGTGGTTCAAGGAAGCATAGCGTTCCAGTAGACTGAACAGCTTCCCATTGATTCCTGTTACACAGAATTCCTGAGGTAGGCAAACATCTCAGCATTTAAATCCGATTCAGGTATAGGATGTTTCTCAACAACCACTCAACTATAAAGTTTTCAATCCTTAGCATGCTGCACTTGGCTGAGAGCAATTATGCAGAATTTTTTTCAATATTTGCTCACAGTTTCGTGATTAGAATAATTAAGTTCTTTTGGCTAGATCTAAAAATTTACCTAAGTAGACTGGCGTAGAAATGTTTGAACCACCTACTTTATTTTTTTTTCCCCAAAATCTATACAAATGATGATCCAAGTTATCTCTTTATCCAAACATTCTGCTCACTGGTGAACTTAAAATGTCTTTACTATACAGCTTTATTGAACAGTTTAATCTGTTAGCAAAGAAGAATTTATTCAGGATAGCTATTGGAGTTTTATTGATTTCACTTTAGTGATAAAATTGCAATGAAGTGGGAAGTGGGCAAGAGGGAGAAATAAATAGCAGAGTTGGCTCATCGAGGTACTTGTCCCCTTTCACCAGGAGGTCCATTGGGAACCAACTGTGTTTGCCAGCAGTTTTCCCATTTTCTTGCCAATTTGAGAATGCCAGCAATTAAAGACCTTAAATGACCATTAATTGACCACTTAAGGTCTTAACCTGACACTTCCGCAGTTACCTTCCTGCAAAATGACTGATTTCCTAAATGGATAACCAGGGTGACCAACCTGCTGGCTTTGGGAGGGGACATCATTTGTCCCAAACACCAGAGGTGAATCATCAAAGGCTCGGTTTCCGAAATTTCCCTGCCCTTGCCTCCTACACCACCCCATCCTCGCCATGATGCCCTCACCCAGCAGGCAGCATTACATCCTCTGAGTAAGCCCCACTTGATGGTCTTTAGGATCCAGATGCTGCTGACCTCTGTCTGGTAGCTACCAACAAACTGGGACACCACTGTCGAAGACTGCAATAGGTTGAGAAGCTTGCCAGTCAGATTATAAGCAGTCTGGTATACAACGTGGTGAGCATTCACAATGGTGGAATTTGTGAGTTTGTTGACACGCCCACCCCACATTTAATCTCAGAAAAGGGAAGTCACAGCCAGTGGCTTGTTGCTCAATATTTTAAGTCTTAATGAAAATGTTATGTAATATTGGCTTTGTGGCAGAGTCATAGAAAATCTGTCAAAATAACACAATGATAGTGCAGTGGCAAGTGCATGGCATGGCAGAATGGAATAGATGCCTGAGGTTTTCCATATAAGTATTTCTTGTGATTTCTCCAGAGTAGATAATTTACACCAATCAGCATAAAACAGTACTTTATAAGTTGATCAGTCAGATTGGAAAGAAACACTGTGACCAATATATGGTTTCTATGCAAGAAACATTCACTTCTTAGGTGCAAAATCGAACAAAAAGGGGTGGAAGCTATTATAAGCCACTATTTTCCTGATTACTTGATATCTCCTAGAGTTGAATTCTGAGAGGGAGTGGGATGCATAGCTCTGAATCCCACACCGTGGAATCCTAAGGAAATATGGTGTCGAATGAAGTACTACGTAACAAGACTTTCCAACTCATTTTCTTTGTCAACACTAAGCAGCAACCATTCGCAAGATCATCAAGAAGTGTGTCTGAAGCCTTGCATTTAGTCCCTCTTTAGTTCAAATGATCATCTTATTTTCAAATATAGGTGTAGTAGGAGACCATTTGGTCCCTCGAACATGCTCCATAATTCTATTGAAGGATGGCTGATCAGACCGTGGCCTTAAATCCACTTCGATGTTCAGAAATTTTACTGATTCAACCTTGAATATATTAAATGACTCAGCCCATACTAGTGCTTGGGAACTGAATTCCAAATACCTAACAACCCTTTGACAGAGGAAGTTCCTTCATCTTAGTTTTGAAAGAGACTCACACTATTTTTAAACTGTGTCACTATTTCTCACAAGGGAAACTCTTAAGCATTTATCCTATCAAGCTCTGTTAGAATCTTTTATGCTTCAATAAGATCACTTCTCATTTTTTAAAATTGGAATAGGTGTAGACCTAACTTGGTCCATCTGTCCTAACCGGAGAACCCCTTCATCCCCGGAATCAACCTAGTCTATATTGCTTCCTTTGCACGTATGTCATTCTCTACGTAAGGTGGCTGAACTGAACACCATACTGCAGTTGTTGTTTCACCAATGCCCTGTACAGCTGTAATAAGACTTCCATACTTCTTTATTCCACTACGTTGTAATATAGGCCAACACTGCAATGGCATTCTGGTTTCCTTTCTGTACCTGCAGATTAACATTTTTTCTTTCATGTATGAGCACACCAGATCTCTGACCGTCCAACAGTGCAGCACTTCTTCAGTACTTAAGAAAGTGGCCCTAGAAATAATGGTTGCATTGATAGTCAACTCTCAAAATTCCATAGCCTCGGGAACAGTTCCTATGGATTTTAATGTAAGTAATGTAACCGCTCTTTTTAAAAACAAAAAGTGGTAGAAAGAAAACAGGGAATTGTTGATTGGCTAGCCTGAGTCAGTAGGAGGGAAGATGCGAGAGATTTATTAGCAAAGCACTTAGAAAACAGTGACAGGATCGGACAGAGTCAGCATGATTTTATGAAAGGGAAATTGTGTTTGACAAATCTATTGGAATTTTTTAAAGATGTAACTCGTAGAGGTGATGTAGTTAATTTGGACTTTCAGAAGACATTCAATAAGGTCCCACATACACGATTAGCATGTAAAATTAATGTACATG